ACACCAAATTAGTTGACATAATTTCAAATAATAAGTTTTAATTTTTGATTATAGGAAAAAAATAAAAGAGTAATCAGATAAAAAAACAAATTATATAAATGGAGATGACCTATGGCAACTAATAGCTATGGTATGGGCAAAATGGGTAGAAAAGTACACACATTGGTTAATTATGAGTTATGACAGAGGAAGACCTAAGTTTTAAAATGTACTTTTTTTTTGGATTTTTATATCTGATCACCTTACTTATATGACACAGTGTAAAAATCAAACATATTTGTAACAATGAAAAATGGATAAAAATAGTTTATAAATGAGATTAATAAATTTAAAAAGTAAAGCATACAATAAAATATGGAGTGATCATGGAATATAAATGAAAAATCATTATAATTATAATATCGTTAAGTTCTAATAATAAGTATTTTATAGTAGTAATAATAATAATTTTAAATAAAATAATTATATTCAATTTAAATATAATTATATCTAAGCATTCAGTGACAAATTATATGCTATACCTTTTATAAAGTTCTTATTCTCATTAGTATTATAATTTGTAACTAAATATGCATGAATTCTTTTATTACAGTCCTTGTACTTTTTTTTCTGTGGTTGTTCTTCAGCAATATACTGCTTTCGTTTCAATTCTTATATATTTTGAACTTTCTTAATTCCATCAATGAATTTCCATATATTAGGGTGGCTTGCTCCTAAAGAATATTTATTCTATTACTAAAGATACTAATTATTAATAAAATAATACGAACCAATAACAGATGTAAATCCTCTGTGCCATCCTTCAATAGCGTTGTTTGTTGTTGGAAGACCATTTTTGGCTGAATAGTGACAATTCCAAATATGAATAGGATATCTTGGCTGTCGTCGAGTTTTTCGTCTTCCTGTTATTTTTCCTACCCAGTTATCTTCGAAATAATCCAAGAATGGCATTAACAGGTCTTCATTTTCAACATAAAATTGTGTTTCTAAAATTTCTTCGTATGCATTAATAACGWTATCTGGTGGAACATAGGCCAAAGCAGCTAGCATACGAATATGAAGAGCAAAGTTAGCATTATTAATATAATTTTCGACTAGAYCAACATTTTGAATTTGTCGC